ATCGTATACTTGTGAGGAAATATCGCACAAGGCGCTGACACGGTTACTATATGACTATATTGGAAGAGAATTATTTTTTTAAATGTTGATTATCTGAGAAAATGTTTTTAAAAGTGCCACACCCCCCTACCGTTACTGTAAGTTACTCAATTTTCAGAAGTATTGTGTCAGTTATTCAATTATTAGCGAAAAGTCTTGATTCGCGAAGTGAATAATAGCAGGTACAGGATTTTGTTGTATGCATCCTGTTACAATGGTCCTGACTAAATACTCGCGATGTTTTGAACTCAGTAGCTACTCTACTTGCGACCGTATGCAATACATGTATGATACCCAGCGATATGTTAGTGTTTATGTTGCGATCTGGTCTTTAGTACGAACCTATAGCTAGTCATTCTGTGCGGAAGTTGTGAACTCGTATGCAGTTCTCAGCGATGTTATTTTAATGCTTAAAATAATGAGTTTCTTAAATTACATGCTGGTTTGGGAAATGCGGAGATCTCCCGAGACAGGTATAATTGTTTTAAAAAATAGTTGTGCTTCTTATCCAAGAAAGTCTTTTGTAAATAGTTATATATAGTGTTAGCTAAATAAATGTATCATCCCGGCTTCCTTTTACCTTGAGAACTAATTCTGCTGACGGTGCTGACCCGTTACTGTAGCTAGCCCTCTCTCCGTCACTGGTTGTGTAATCGCCTTATCCGCGACTTATAGTTCCAACCCGATGTCGTATCGATCCAGGAGAATATAAATGGGTGCGTGTGAAAACTTCATTGGTTTGTGATGCGTTTGGGGGATGAAGTCGACACGTTCGTTATCGCCAAACATGTACGAGCCCAGGCAATATCCTAATGGCTTACTATCGTCCAGGTCAACTCATTACTCCCGCAAATTTGCACGCGCAGCCATGTTCATTACACACGTGCCATCGATTCTCATGAGTCGTCTCGTCAGTAACGACCACTTACAGTGATGTCATTGCGAAAAAAAGCCTTATTTAGGACATTGGTTCCATAAGTACTCACTGTGCATGCGCATTAATATCTTGACTAAGAATCATAATGCTGTGGGGTTGTTATTGCATGATATACATGTGAATGTCTATGTCAATAGCCAGTAGACATAGGCTCAGGAATGTCTATGTCAATAGCCAGTAGACATAGGCTCAGGAATGTCTATGTCAATAGCTAGTAGACATTGGCTCAGTAATGTCTATGTCAATAGCCAGTAGACATTGGCTCAGGAATGTCTATGTCCATAGCCAGTAGACATAGGCTCATGAATGTCTATGTCAATAGCCAGTAGACATAGGCTCAGGAATGTTCCCCTTGGATATGAAAATATTTAAGATACGAATTATTGCAAGAGTTGTATCATGAATGCGTCCGCTATAGTTGTATCATGAATGCGTCCGCTATAGTTGTATCCGGAAAGCGTCCGCTATAGTTGTATCAGGAATGCGTCCGCTATAGTTTTATCAGGAATGCGTCTGCTACAGTTGTATCAGGAATGCGTCTGCTACAGTTGTATCAGGAATGCGTCCACAATAGTTGTATCATGAATGCCTCTGCTATGGTTGTATCAGGAATGCGTCCGGTATAGTTGTATCACGAATGCGTCTGCTACAGTTGTATCATGAATGCGTCTGCTACAGTTGTATCAGGAATGCGTCTGCTACAGTTGTATCAGAAATGCGTCTGCTACAGTTGTATCATGAATGCGTGCGCTATAGTTGTATCATGAATGCATCTGCTATAGTCGTATCAGAAATACGTCTGCTATAGTTGTATCATGAATGCGTCCGCTATAGTTGTATCATGAATGCGTCCGCTATAGTTGTATCATGAATGCGTCTGCTACAGTTGTATCATGAATGCGTCCGCTATAGTTGTATCAGGAATGCGTCTGCTACAGATGTATCATGAATGAGTCTGCTACAGTTGTATCATGAATGCGTCCGCTATAGTTGTATCATGAATGCATCTGCTATAGTCGTATCAGAAATACGTCTGCTATAGTTGTATCATGAATGCGTCTGCTATAGTTGTATCAGGAATGCGTCTGCTACAGTTGTATCATGAATGCGTCTGCTACAATTGTATCATGAATGCGTCCGCTACAGTTGTATCATGAATGCGTCTGCTACAGTTGTATCATGAATGCGTCTGCTACAGTTGTATCATGAATGCGTCTGCTACAGTTGTATCATGAATGCGTCTGCTACAGTTGTATCATGAATGCGTCTGCTACAGTTGTATCATGAATGCGTCTGCTACAGTTGTATCATGAATGCGTCTGCTACAGTTGTATCATGAATGCGTCTGCTACAGTTGTATCATGAATGCGTCTGCTACAGTTGTATCATGAATGCGTCTGCTACAGTTGTATCATGAATGCGTCTGCTACAGTTGTATCATGAATGCGTCTGCTACAGTTGTATCATGAATGCGTCTGCTACAGTTGTATCATGAATGCGTCTGCTACAGTTGTATCATGAATGCGTCTGCTACAGTTGTATCATGAATGCGTCTGCTACAGTTGTATCATGAATGCGTCTGCTACAGTTGTATCATGAATGCGTCTGCTACAGTTGTATCATGAATGCGTCTGCTACAGTTGTATCATGAATGCGTCTGCTACAGTTGTATCATGAATGCGTCTGCTACAGTTGTATCATGAATGCGTCTGCTACAGTTGTATCATGAATGCGTCTGCTACAGTTGTATCATGAATGCGTCTGCTACAGTTGTATCATGAATGCGTCTGCTACAGTTGTATCATGAATGCGTCTGCTACAGTTGTATCATGAATGCGTCTGCTACAGTTGTATCATGAATGCGTCTGCTACAGTTGTATCATGAATGCGTCTGCTACAGTTGTATCATGAATGCGTCTGCTACAGTTGTATCATGAATGCGTCTGCTACAGTTGTATCATGAATGCGTCTGCTACAGTTGTATCATGAATGCGTCTGCTACAGTTGTATCATGAATGCGTCTGCTACAGTTGTATCATGAATGCGTCTGCTACAGTTGTATCATGAATGCGTCTGCTACAGTTGTATCATGAATGCGTCTGCTACAGTTGTATCATGAATGCGTCTGCTACAGTTGTATCAGGAATGCGTCTGCTACAGTTGTATCATGAATGCGTCTGCTACAGTTGTATCAGGAATGCGTCTGCTACAGTTGTATCATGAATGCGTCTGCTACAGTTGTATCATGAATGCGTCTGCTACAGTTGTATCATGAATGCGTCTGCTACAGTTGTATCATGAATGCGTCTGCTACAGTTGTATCATGAATGCGTCTGCTACAGTTGTATCATGAATGCGTCTGCTACAGTTGTATCATGAATGCGTCTGCTACAGTTGTATCATGAATGCGTCTGCTACAGTTGTATCATGAATGCGTCTGCTACAGTTGTATCATGAATGCGTCTGCTACAGTTGTATCATGAATGCGTCTGCTACAGTTGTATCATGAATGCGTCTGCTACAGTTGTATCATGAATGCGTCTGCTACAGTTGTATCATGAATGCGTCTGCTACAGTTGTATCATGAATGCGTCTGCTACAGTTGTATCATGAATGCGTCTGCTACAGTTGTATCATGAATGCGTCTGCTACAGTTGTATCATGAATGCGTCTGCTACAGTTGTATCATGAATGCGTCTGCTACAGTTGTATCATGAATGCGTCTGCTACAGTTGTATCATGAATGCGTCTGCTACAGTTGTATCATGAATGCGTCTGCTACAGTTGTATCATGAATGCGTCTGCTACAGTTGTATCATGAATGCGTCTGCTACAGTTGTATCATGAATGCGTCTGCTACAGTTGTATCATGAATGCGTCTGCTACAGTTGTATCATGAATGCGTCTGCTACAGTTGTATCATGAATGCGTCTGCTACAGTTGTATCATGAATGCGTCTGCTACAGTTGTATCATGAATGCGTCTGCTACAGTTGTATCATGAATGCGTCTGCTACAGTTGTATCATGAATGCGTCTGCTACAGTTGTATCAGGAATGCGTCTGCTACAGTTGTATCATGAATGCGTCTGCTATAGTTGTATCAGGAATACGTCTGCTATAGTTGTATCAGGAATGCGTCTGCTACCGTTGTATCAGGAAAGCGTCTGCTATTGTTGTATCAGGAATGCGTCTGCTACCGCTGATCAGGAATGCGTCTGCTATAGTTGTATCAGGAATGCGTCTGCTACAGTTGTATCAAGAATGCGTCCGCTATAGTTGTATCATGGTTGCGTCCGCTAGAGTTGTATCAGGAATGCGTCCGCTACAGTTGTATCAAAAATGCGTCGGCTATAGTTGTATCAGGAATGCGTCTGCTAAAGTTGCATCAAAAATGCGCCTGCTATAGTTGTATCAGGAATGCGGCTGCTACAGTTGTATCAAAAATGCGCCTGCTATAGTTGTATCAGGAATGCGTCCGCTATAGTTGTATCATGAATGCGTCCGCTACAGTTGTATCATGAATCCGTCTGCTACAGTTATATCAGGAATGCGTCTGCTACAGTTGTATCATGAATGCGTCTGCTATTGTTGTATCAGGAAAGCCTCTGCTATAGTTGGACACATTAATGGTAGGCATTCAGGTAGGTTCTGCCATTAATATCACCACTATTAGGCAATCGTTGATTAGTGCCTTTTGGTTATTTTATGACCCAATCTCGACCTCAGTATCCTTCACTAAATTGAATTGATCGCATTTCTAGAAGCTTAATAACTTTCGTGAAACAATGTCCAGTCGAGTTTTATCTATCTAGTCATATCGGCGATGGTTTGAACGTGGATGCACGAACGTTGCCAAATAATGTATTGTTATGTGTTTTTTTAAGTTCGTTGGTTGTTACAAGCTTGTTTAATTTCAAACAGTTCTGGTTTCTAAAATTTCCTCGAGGTTCAGTTTTATAATACACCTTAATTGTTTCGATTTCAAATAAGTACGCTTACATCTTTTAATTTGTTTACTTTCAGACGCCATACCGCATACGCCATTACACACTCCCACGTATTACCAGGAGTGCGCATGCGGCTGTGAAATCAAGAAGCCACAAGGGGATGTAATCGGGACAGGACGATGTGACGGACTGTCGCTGTGGCTGCTGACTGTAGCAGAGGACCAAAACATCAAACTCAATTTTCAGTTTTTAAAATTATATGAGGACAAACAATGGATTAAAATCCGAGATGGTGATAGTGTAGACTCAAATTTATTGGCTGTCAGCTTCGGTGGCGTCATAGTGACGCAAGTGAAGTCATCATCTAATAAAATGTTGATCGAGTTTATGAGCAAGACTGATATTAATCTCAACACTACTTCAGGTGACTATCATTCGTCGATTAGAACAAATTCATCATCATCTACCAGATTATACCAGCTTAAACCCACCAGGAAAATCCACGTCCATGGCTTCATAGCCAATTTCAGCTCCATACGTAAGTTTTCACGTTGTGAAACATTTTATGTTTTTGTAATAATCATAAATATTGATTTGACGTATGTATATTTAATGTCGTCAGATTTATCAAACGACCACGAAATCGTGCGAATAAGACCCATCATGTGAGCTAGACATTCCAACTTACCTTATAGACCAGGTGAGCTAGCCATTCCAACTTCCCTTATAGACCAGGTGAGCTAGACATTCCAACTTACCTTATAGATCAGGTGAATTAGACATTCCAACTTACCTTATAGACCAGGTGAGCTAGACATTCCAACTTACCTTATAGACCAGGTGAGCTAGATATTCCAACTTACCTTATAGACCAGGTGAGGTAGACATTGCAACTTACCTTATAGACCAGGTGAGCTAGGCATTCCAACTTACCTTATAGACCAGGTGAGGTAGACATTGCAACTTACCTTATAGACCAGGTGAGCTAGATATTCCAACTTACCTTATAGACCAGGTGAGGTAGACATTCCAACTTACCTTATAGACCAGTTGAGCTAGACATTCCAACTTACCTTATAGACCAGTTGAGCTAGACATTCCAACTTACCTTATAGACCAGGGGAGGTAGACATTCCAACTTACCTTATAGACCAGGGGAGCTAGACATTCCAACTTACCTTATAGACCCGGTGAGCTAGACATTCCAACTTACCTTATGGACCAGGTGAGCTAGTCATTCCAACTTACCTTATAGATCAGGTGAATTAGACATTCCAACTTTCCTTATAGACCAGGTGAGCTAGACATTCCAACTTACCTTATAGACCAGATGCAACAAACTGCTTGTGAACCATTAACAACAGTTTGTCTCTGTACCAGAAATATCAAACTGTTTGAGAACCAGACATAAACTATGAACCAGACATGATATCACTCACCCTCTGTCAGCCTAGGATCAAGTTTTCTAGAACAAACACATTAACATCCCACTATGAATTAGACTTTACCAACCCGATGTGAACTTTACATATTTACATTCATGAATCAATCAAAATTACAACTACTCTGTAAGTAATGTAGGCAGCATACTCCTTCTTTAAGCTAGTTAGGTAGGGCAATCCCTTTGTGAGCGTTAAATGGAGGCATGGTAGTCTAATGGTAAGACGCCGGGCTCGTGACTGAAGTGTTGCGGGTTCGAGTCACAGCAAGGCACTGTGTTGTATCTTTGAGCAAGATACTTAACTCCGCTTGTTCCAGTCTACTCAGCTGTCAATGAGTACGTGGTTGGGCAGTGCTAGAATTGTAGAATGCTAACTGTGAGCGCCGAAAAGGCAGCACCGGCTGTATGCTCCCCAGGGAGTTGAGAAAGATATCGGCCGGTTGCAAAGACCCTATAACCACGGATAATAATTTGTGAGCCGCTTTGAGACGACCTACGAACTAGGTTGTGATCAAGCGGTTTATAAGAACCTCGAATTATTATAATTATTAATATAACTATTATATGCAGCACAATTCCTCCATAAGCCAGATAGGAAGCACAACATATCTGTAAGCACGATATGCAGCACAATCCTACTGTAAGTCAGATAGGAAACACAACAAGCTATAACCAGTTAAGCCACACCACCCTTCTGTAAGGAATATAGTCAACATTCTTTAAGCCAGATAGAAAGCACAAATTGTCTGTACACCAGATTATCAGCACAATCCCTCTGTTTGCAGGTAGGCAGCACAATACCTCTGCAAGCTGAAAAGAAACCCCACCATTCTGTAACCAGTTAGTCCGAACAATCCCTCTATAAACTAGATAGGCAGCACAATCCCTCTATAAACCAGATGACAGCACATTCCCTCTATAAACCAGATAGGCAGCACATTCCCTCTATAAACTAGAAAGGCAGCACAATCCCTCTACAAACCAGATAGGCAGCACATTCCCTCTATAAACTAGATAGGCAGCACAATCCCTCTATAAACCAGATAGGCAGCACAATCCCTTTATAAACCAGATAGGCAGAACATTCCCTTTATAAACCAGATAGGCAACACAATCCTCCTATAAACCAGATAGGCAGCACATTCCCTCTATAAACCAGATAGGCAGCACAATCCCTCTGCAAACCAGATAGGCAGCCCATTCCCTCTATAAACTGGATAGGCAGCACAATCCCTCTGTTAACCAGATAGGCAGCCCATTCCCTCTATAAAACATATAGGCAGCACAATCCTTCTGTAAACCAGATAAGCAGCACATTCCCTCTCTAAACTAGATAGGCAGAACAATCCCTTTATAAACCAGTTAGGCAGCACAATCCATCTATAAACCAGATAGGCAGAACAATCCCTCTGTAAAACAGATAGGCAGCACACTCCCTCTATAAACCAGATGACAGCACATTCCCTCTATAAACTGGATAGGCAGCACAATTCCTCTGTAAACCAGATAGGCAGCACATTCCCTTTACAAACCAGATGGCAGCAGATTCCCTCTATAATCCAGATAGGCAGCACATTCCCTCTATAAACTAGATAGGCAGCACAATCCCTCTGTAAACCAGATAGGCAGCACGTTCCCTCTATAAACCAGATAGGCAGCACATTCCCTTTATAAACCAGATAGGCAGCAAAATCCCTCTGTATACCAGATAGGCAGCACAATCCCTCTATAAAACAGATAGGCAGCACAATCCCTCTATAAACTAGATAGGCAGCACAATCCTTCTATAAACCAGATAGGCAGCACAATCCCTCTATAAACCAGATAGGCAGCACAATCCCTCTGTAAACCAGATAGGCAGCACAATCCCTCTGTAAACCAGATAGGCAGCACATTCCCTCTATAAACCAGATAGGCAGCACAATCCCTCTGTAAACTAGATAGGCAGCACAATCCCTCTGTATACTAGATAGGCAGCACAATCCCTCTGTAAACCAGATAGGCAGCACATTCCCTCTATAAACCAGATAGGCAGCACAATCCCTCTGTAAACCAGATAGGCAGCACAATCCCTCTGTATACTAGATAGGCAGCACAATCCCTCTGTAAACCAGATAGGCAGCACATTCCCTCTATAAACCAGATAGGCAGCACAATCCCTCTGTAAACCAGATAGGCAGCACAATCCCTCTGTATACTAGATAGGCAGCACAATCCCTCTGTAAACCAGATAGGCAGCACATTCCCTCTATAAACCAGATAGGCAGCACAATCCCTCTGTAAACCAGATAGGCAGCACAATCCCTCTGTATACTAGATAGGCAGCACAATCCCTCTGTAAACCAGATAGGCAGCACATTCCCTCTATAAACCAGATAGGCAGCACAATCCCTCTGTAAACCAGATAGGCAGCACAATCCCTCTGTATACTAGATAGGCAGCACAATCCCTCTAAAACCTAGATAGGCAGCACAATCCCTCTATAAACCAGATAGGCAGCACAATCCCTCTATAAACCAGATAGGCAGCACATTCTCTCTATAAACCAGATATGCAGCACACTCCCTCTATAAACCAGATAGGCAGCACAATCCTTCTGTATACCAAATAGGCAGAACAATCCCTCATTAAACCAGATAGGAAGCACATTCCCTCTAAAAACTAGATAGGCAGCACAATCCCTCTGTATACCAGATAGGCAGCACAATCCCTCTATAAACCAGATAGGCAGCACAATCCCTCTATAAACTAGATAGGCAGCACAATCTTTCTATAAACCAGATAGGCAGCACAATCCCTCTATAAACCAGATAGGCAGCACAATCCCTCTATAAACCAGATAGGCAGCACAATCCCTCTATAAACCAGATAGGCAGCACAATCCCTCTATAAACCAGATAGGCAGCACAATCCCTCTATAAACCAGATAGGCAGCACAATCCCTCTATAAACCAGATAGGCAGCACAATCCCTCTATAAACCAGATAGGCAGCACAATCCCTCTATAAACCAGATAGGCAGCACAATCCCTCTATAAACCAGATAGGCAGCACAATCCCTCTATAAACCAGATAGGCAGCACAATCCCTCTATAAACCAGATAGGCAGCACAATCCCTCTGTAAACCAGATAGGCAGCACAATCCCTCTGTAAACCAGATAGGCAGCACAATCCCTCTGTATACTAGATAGGCAGCACAATCCCTCTGTAAACCAGATAGGCAGCACATTCCCTCTATAAACCAGATAGGCAGCACAATCCCTCTGTAAACCAGATAGGCAGCACAATCCCTCTGTATACTAGATAGGCAGCACAATCCCTCTGTAAACCAGATAGGCAGCACATTCCCTCTATAAACCAGATAGGCAGCACAATCCCTCTGTAAACCAGATAGGCAGCACAATCCCTCTGTATACTAGATAGGCAGCACAATCCCTCTGTAAACCAGATAGGCAGCACATTCCCTCTATAAACCAGATAGGCAGCACAATCCCTCTGTAAACCAGATAGGCAGCACAATCCCTCTGTATACTAGATAGGCAGCACAATCCCTCTGTAAACCAGATAGGCAGCACATTCCCTCTATAAACCAGATAGGCAGCACAATCCCTCTGTAAACCAGATAGGCAGCACAATCCCTCTGTATACTAGATAGGCAGCACAATCCCTCTGTAAACCAGATAGGCAGCACATTCCCTCTATAAACCAGATAGGCAGCACAATCCCTCTGTAAACCAGATAGGCAGCACAATCCCTCTGTATACTAGATAGGCAGCACAATCCCTCTGTAAACCAGATAGGCAGCACATTCCCTCTATAAACCAGATAGGCAGCACAATCCCTCTGTAAACCAGATAGGCAGCACAATCCCTCTGTATACTAGATAGGCAGCACAATCCCTCTGTAAACCAGATAGGCAGCACATTCCCTCTATAAACCAGATAGGCAGCACAATCCCTCTGTAAACCAGATAGGCAGCACAATCCCTCTGTATACTAGATAGGCAGCACAATCCCTCTGTAAACCAGATAGGCAGCACATTCCCTCTATAAACCAGATAGGCAGCACAATCCCTCTGTAAACCAGATAGGCAGCACAATCCCTCTGTATACTAGATAGGCAGCACAATCCCTCTGTAAACCAGATAGGCAGCACATTCCCTCTATAAACCAGATAGGCAGCACAATCCCTCTGTAAACCAGATAGGCAGCACAATCCCTCTGTATACTAGATAGGCAGCACAATCCCTCTGTAAACCAGATAGGCAGCACATTCCCTCTATAAACCAGATAGGCAGCACAATCCCTCTGTAAACCAGATAGGCAGCACAATCCCTCTGTATACTAGATAGGCAGCACAATCCCTCTGTAAACCAGATAGGCAGCACATTCCCTCTATAAACCAGATAGGCAGCACAATCCCTCTGTAAACCAGATAGGCAGCACAATCCCTCTGTATACTAGATAGGCAGCACAATCCCTCTGTAAACCAGATAGGCAGCACATTCCCTCTATAAACCAGATAGGCAGCACAATCCCTCTGTAAACCAGATAGGCAGCACAATCCCTCTGTATACTAGATAGGCAGCACAATCCCTCTGTAAACCAGATAGGCAGCACATTCCCTCTATAAACCAGATAGGCAGCACAATCCCTCTGTAAACCAGATAGGCAGCACAATCCCTCTGTATACTAGATAGGCAGCACAATCCCTCTGTAAACCAGATAGGCAGCACATTCCCTCTATAAACCAGATAGGCAGCACAATCCCTCTGTAAACCAGATAGGCAGCACAATCCCTCTGTATACTAGATAGGCAGCACAATCCCTCTGTAAACCAGATAGGCAGCACATTCCCTCTATAAACCAGATAGGCAGCACAATCCCTCTGTAAACCAGATAGGCAGCACAATCCCTCTGTATACTAGATAGGCAGCACAATCCCTCTGTAAACCAGATAGGCAGCACATTCCCTCTATAAACCAGATAGGCAGCACAATCCCTCTGTAAACCAGATAGGCAGCACAATCCCTCTGTATACTAGATAGGCAGCACAATCCCTCTGTAAACCAGATAGGCAGCACATTCCCTCTATAAACCAGATAGGCAGCACAATCCCTCTGTAAACCAGATAGGCAGCACAATCCCTCTGTATACTAGATAGGCAGCACAATCCCTCTGTAAACCAGATAGGCAGCACATTCCCTCTATAAACCAGATAGGCAGCACAATCCCTCTGTAAACCAGATAGGCAGCACAATCCCTCTGTATACTAGATAGGCAGCACAATCCCTCTGTAAACCAGATAGGCAGCACATTCCCTCTATAAACCAGATAGGCAGCACAATCCCTCTGTAAACCAGATAGGCAGCACAATCCCTCTGTATACTAGATAGGCAGCACAATCCCTCTGTAAACCAGATAGGCAGCACATTCCCTCTATAAACCAGATAGGCAGCACAATCCCTCTGTAAACCAGATAGGCAGCACAATCCCTCTGTATACTAGATAGGCAGCACAATCCCTCTGTAAACCAGATAGGCAGCACATTCCCTCTATAAACCAGATAGGCAGCACAATCCCTCTGTAAACCAGATAGGCAGCACAATCCCTCTGTATACTAGATAGGCAGCACAATCCCTCTGTAAACCAGATAGGCAGCACATTCCCTCTATAAACCAGATAGGCAGCACAATCCCTCTGTAAACCAGATAGGCAGCACAATCCCTCTGTATACTAGATAGGCAGCACAATCCCTCTGTAAACCAGATAGGCAGCACATTCCCTCTATAAACCAGATAGGCAGCACAATCCCTCTGTAAACCAGATAGGCAGCACAATCCCTCTGTATACTAGATAGGCAGCACAATCCCTCTGTAAACCAGATAGGCAGCACATTCCCTCTATAAACCAGATAGGCAGCACAATCCCTCTGTAAACCAGATAGGCAGCACAATCCCTCTGTATACTAGATAGGCAGCACAATCCCTCTGTAAACCAGATAGGCAGCACATTCCCTCTATAAACCAGATAGGCAGCACAATCCCTCTGTAAACCAGATAGGCAGCACAATCCCTCTGTATACTAGATAGGCAGCACAATCCCTCTGTAAACCAGATAGGCAGCACATTCCCTCTATAAACCAGATAGGCAGCACAATCCCTCTGTAAACCAGATAGGCAGCACAATCCCTCTGTATACTAGATAGGCAGCACAATCCCTCTGTAAACCAGATAGGCAGCACATTCCCTCTATAAACCAGATAGGCAGCACAATCCCTCTGTAAACCAGATAGGCAGCACAATCCCTCTGTATACTAGATAGGCAGCACAATCCCTCTGTAAACCAGATAGGCAGCACATTCCCTCTATAAACCAGATAGGCAGCACAATCCCTCTGTAAACCAGATAGGCAGCACAATCCCTCTGTATACTAGATAGGCAGCACAATCCCTCTGTAAACCAGATAGGCAGCACATTCCCTCTATAAACCAGATAGGCAGCACAATCCCTCTGTAAACCAGATAGGCAGCACAATCCCTCTGTATACTAGATAGGCAGCACAATCCCTCTGTAAACCAGATAGGCAGCACATTCCCTCTATAAACCAGATAGGCAGCACAATCCCTCTGTAAACCAGATAGGCAGCACAATCCCTCTATAAACCAGATAGGCAGCACAATCCCTTTATAAACCAGATAGGCAGCACAGTCCCTCTATAAACCAGATAGGCAGTACATTCCCTCTGTAAACCAGATAGGCAGCACAATCCCTCTGTAAACCAGAAAGGCAGCACAATCCCTCTGTAAACCAGATAGGCAGCACAAACCCTCTGTGAACCAGATCGGAAACACAATCCCTCTGTAAACCAGATCAGAAACACAATCCCTCTGTAAACCAGATCGGAAACACAATCCCTCTGTAAACCAGATATGCAGCACACTCCCTCTGTAAATCAGATAGGCAGCACAATCCCTCTGTAAACCAGATGAGAAACGCAGTCCCTCTGTATACTAGATAGACAGCACAATCCCTCTGTATACTAGATAGACAGCACAATCCCTCTGTATACTAGATAGACAGCACAATCCCTCTATAAACCAGATAGGCATTACACGCATACTCCCTCGGGAAACTAGATATAGACAGCACAACCTGTCTTGGAACTAGACAGGTAGCTTAAATTTTCTGTAAGCCAGATAGGTTGCACATCCTCTCTTTATGTCAAATACAATGTAGGGTTACACAACCTCTCGGTGAACCGGATGGAAACTTGAAGTGTAATGACACACAATCACGGAGGTTTTCTTTCTTTCAAAGAAAGAAAACCTCCGTGATTGTGTGTCATTACACTTCACCACTACCTGAACCACACATCACATCTCCCCATGTCACAAACCCCAGATGAACGAGACAGAAAACCTCTCTCCTGTAAGAACAGTTAACAAACACCATGAGGACTTGACATAATCGGTCCCTGTGAACGAGACAAACTTACGTAATCGCGAAACATCATAAATCCCAATGTAGCATCACAAATCACCAATGTAAAAAGCAAACATGAAGTAAAACCTCGCTATACAGTCACCATTGTACCGAACGTATTGACGTTATAAAGGGGTTTGGCGATAAATTGAGGGAAAGAATAAAAGAAATCTTGAGAAAAAAGGGAAATGGACCCTTAAATAGGCTGGCGGTAATTAAAGCGAGGTGGCAAATGCAAAGAAGGGCATTATATCGAGGTTCAAGTGTAGTGAGTTTGATACTATTTCTGTACTTTAAGTAATTCTGTCAACTTCATGTTTTGCACAGGCGGATCAAAGGGTGTCTTTGTGCTGTAGGATTAGTGTAGCTTACGATCAAACAGTCTGGTATCGACTGTTTCTGTCTACCTGGTCTGACGTCTCCCCTTTAACAATAAGCCGTACCTAGATACAAAACATGTCGTGTCACGTGATCTGTATTTCTTTGCCCGCCATATCGATCGGGTGATGTTGCTATTAAGTAACAGGTCGTCGAATGTGATTTTTTTTTAAGTCATCGACATGTCTTCAAATCTTGCCGTCATGTAAGATTTTATTTTTAACAAAGAGCTATAGAAAGTGAACTTGATTGCATTTCCTTAATGTCCGGATTGTTCAGTGTATATATATATAAAAGCGGGTGATATATATTTATCATTTTTTTGTAGCTTTATAAATCTAGCTTTTTACCACTTTACCTCATTAGGATTAATGAGACTAGCAATAAAGCGTCATAATGCAAACAATTTCGTGACGTCATAAAGATTCATAAAGGGAATAATAAAAATAGTATCCTTCGATGCGTGATTGGATACGAATGTTTCATATATCATGACTTTGGGATTTTCAAAAAATATTTAGCCCGGCATGTTTTGTAAATGTATATGATCTTTAAGTAGTCCGTATCGTCTGCAAAGGGAGACTCTTTTTTACCGGTCATATAACCTTGTGTGACTTTAAGTTTTGGCCATACTAATTATATTGTTTATTATGTTTACATTTTTTGGTTCATATTTTAATTCTGATCCTTTTCTTGATTAATCCTCACCAGCTCGAAACTACACAACGGTGTTGACTGCCGTCCCGATCCAGACTTTGCTGCCAGAGAGCAGCATATGGAAAAGCACTGTGACCATTGTGGGGATTTCCTTGTGTGCTGTCATCGTTTTGGTGGCAGTGGTTGTCGCCTTTTACCATAAGTGTATCCGCAAGAGAGGGCACAAATATTCAATGGCAGGAACAATCGACAGCCCCACCCACATGGCAAAAAGTACAAGTATGCATAGTACGCCTAGTCATCATAGTGCATTAAGTGGCATTGAAATAGATTATGATATGGAGCGCCCTCTTACGGGACAAAGTAAGCAAAAATCAAGAGCTTCATCGATATCAAGCATACGCAGCAATGGAAGAAGTAGCAGTAACAGAAAACGTTTGAAAAGTAAATCTGATCTTGATTCTACGGGGGGTAGTCCTAAACCCCCGTCTAAGCATTACTCGCCTCTCCCAAGTCCTCTTGTACAGGCAGCAAAGACAGAAGAAGGAGATGAGAAAAATAGTCTATTTAATACTAGTCCATTATTAGGCCGTCGGCCAAGATCACCTAAAGTACATCCTTCATCAAAATTTAAACATAATCGAGACATAAAAAGTCCATTGTCTCCGCCATTGACAAAACACGAAATGTTAAAGAGAAAACGTTTTGACAGCGAGCAGAGTCAGGATAAGACTCCCACAAACGGGGTCATGGAGAAGCCCCGGGGGACGGACAGCTTAAATGCCACGCCCCTCTCAACAGGATCCGCGACTCCTACAACCAAAGTGCTTTGTGCTGAAGTACATCCCGTCCAGCGGGAAGTTGCTCAGTTCACCCGGCTGGAGTTCATGGACAAACTTGAGCAAGAGGAAGTCCGAAAACCTGGTTCAGGAACGTCTGACGATTCACAGACTCCGGACAATTTGTGCAAGGAACAAACGACTTCTTTTATAAACAAACCCGATTTTATGAGAAGAAACCCCGACAACTCAAAGGAAAAACCTCGCCGACCCACCTCATTGACGGAAAGTTATAGCATGAACGCGTTCTTGCCGCTTAACGGCTCTGATAAGAAAAGCACAGGAAGTAATACCTCTCAAAAGATTGTGGCTCCTATCGATAGACACAACGATTTACCCAAACCGGATGGACAAAGTCCGAAAACTCCGCGAGAAATATGTTCTAAAACTTCCACTCCGAAAAGTTTTCGGAGTTCTAAAAGTAGACTGACATTGTCTCCATCTCGAAGCGTCACAACGCCCTCTGACGGCAATCTCGAGATGGAGTATGATGACTTTATAGACTATGATGACACTTATTCGTATTTTGATCCAATAGAGACGGAAAAGCTCCAATGGCGAGGCAAGGAAAAACTCAGTAAGATTGTTAACGCTGATGATGATTGACCACGTAATTTTGATGAAATCCGCAGAAGACATAAGCGCATGTCTCTTAGGTAATCGTTTGTGCTATATGGAAGTTTTCACATACTTTCATTTCGTCCGTGTATGTGCGCCAAGAACGCTGTATAGAGCTTAGCGGGTGATGACGTTCGTGACTATAAGACGTCATTAAGATTACTGGATACGCTTTAGTTTGTCACGATTGTGTAGGGCGTCACAAAAGCTCTATAATCGAAAACAATACGTGTTTGCGCAATGTTTCAGTTCAAGCGAAGAAGCCAACATATTTATTCAACAGACCAGAAAGGGTCTTTGGTGTTGTACATACATATATAATCAATTCCGACTGTACTGGTGCCATGGATACCGGACACAACAGTTGTCATGTGCATATGTTTCTACCCAACACCGTCCAGAAACCATCATACATATCGCGTGTTAATACAAGAGATGTTTTGGCAGCTCGGACCATATTTCGTGGAATATATCACAACCAGGAGTTAGGAATTCAACAAAGCCGAGTGCCTGTTATATGGTTGTGAGTTAATTTGCATATAATGATCTCGGTGTCCATCAATCGCATCTTCCCAAAGATTATTTTTTTTCTCGTCAAATTCCTGTCCAGGGGTGTGGGTGTGGGTGTGGGTGTGGGGGGTCTTCATCTCCGAAATATAGTATTTTCACTTTCAGTGCATGACACATTAATACCATATGAAGACACATTTTAGTTTGGATAAATACGTATGAACATTTGCATTCAAATGCATCAGAATGTAGCTTCGCGCACAAGTAACTTGCCATAGTTCCGGTTTTTTTGTGGAAGCGATTTGTTCGGTACCTCCGTCCTGTGTGGTTTATAAACTACACGTTTTACTCCTTCAAATTGTTAAATTGCCATTGGCTTAATTGTTTCTTTTTTAAAGGTCATATATTTAAGTCTAAGTTACACGACTTCCTCCTAAATTAACGATTTAATTTATTTTTTTATTATCTGGGAAAATTCATACTGTACAATGGAGCTTATACAGAGGGGAGATAACTCTCATGTTTCACTGCGACTGCGATATTTATTAGAGTAGAAACTCATTACTTCAATTTAAATACACTCGAATCTCAGTAGTCAGAACACTTTGTTACGGCACGATTTCTCACCCTCACCCGATTTGAGTGAGAAATCGTGCTAAAATTGTTTCGTTCGCAACACGATTTCTCATCCGGGTGAGAAATCGTGCAAAACACATGGGCCTAGATATGATGTTTATTTTTATTTTTGCGCGTATGAGCAGCGTTCACATTATTAGTGTGTTTCTAAACATAAGAGCGTTAATTGACATTGCTCATGTGTTTGTTTACTCTACACATTTAAAATACAAAACTGATTACACGCATTAATTGGAATGGGGAATATAAGAAATTGTTTTGGGTTAAATGGGTTATTAGAACACGATGTCGCCTTTTATTTCACATTTTTTATATAACGAATTCTGTTAGAAAACAACATATCCGCACAACAAAGACTTTCGTTCATCCATTTTAATTCCTTGTATTTTTAGCCCACCATCATCTGATGGTGGGCTATTCAAATCACCCTGCCTCCGTGGTCCGTCGTCCGGGTCCGTCGTCCGTCCTTAAACAATTCTTGTTATCGGTATTTCTCAAAAAGTACCAGAGGGATCTTTCTCAAATTTTATATGTAGGTTCCCTTTGGTCCTTAGCTGTGCAGGGCAACTTTTGAGACTGGTCAGATAAACAACATGGCCGACAGGCAGCCATCTTGGATATTAATAGTGTTGGTCTGTTACCGCTATTTCTGCGGAAGAACTAGAGGGATCTTTCTTAAATTTTATATGTAGGTTCCCCTTGATCCCTCGTTGTGCATGTTATATTTTGAGACTGATCATAAAAACAAAATGGATTGAAAGAAGAACTAAACAGATCTTTCTCATATTGCAATGATCGATTGTATTTCTTTCACATTAAGTACTGGACTAGTAAATATGTGAAATGACAAACTCACTTTGAAGGTTGGCTTTCATACACATCAGTATTAAGTTCCGATCAAAAGTTACCTCAATGTGCATTTACTGTTAACATGACTCGACCAAACAGATAAGACAAAAGAAAAAAAAAGATCCAACTGACAAAGAACTAATGAAGATGGTACAAAGGTGGGCGCCAAGACCCTCTGGGATCTCGTGTTCTATAAAAAAAATGAACACTCGCACAATATCTAATATTGACCATTCAGGACCCAACCTACATGAAACCCGAATATTTTGTCAGATAAAAAAACAACGCCGGTCGCAATGTTCGAAGTGACATTGCACACATTTACACAGACTTCTTAGGGATATTGGACAATACACACATTGACACAGACTTCTTAGGGATATTGGACAATTCTCACATTGACAGATCTAAACCTCTTAGGGATATTGGACAATACACACATTTCGACTAATGAGAAACCAGTCTGCCGCTGCACAGCCATTTTGCGAAAGACAAGTTTTTCCAATTTTCAAGAACACCATCAAAATATTCCAATAACCAACCTTTATAAAAAAAAAGAACAGAAATTATTATACATGTAGCCCAATATGTTTCAGCAAATGAGAGGCAATGATCTGTGTCTGATCGGAAAACTTAAGGTCGAATATCATTTGTGTCTGCGCAGTAGTTTCTTTTATGAATAAACCTAACAATACCACAATCGCCCAAGATCAAAAATCATTGGTCGTACTCATGACAACGGGTGAAATGCCTACACCTAACACGAGTTCTCACCCAGGTGAAATCGCGTTGCAAACGCAGCAATTTTAGCATGTATTCTCGCCCGGGTGAGATATAGTGTCTGGATGAGAAATCGTGTCGTAACACACTTTGTTTTAGCCATATCATAATAACTGATTACTTCTCTTAACTGAAACGCGAACTGTTTCGGCTTTCATTTAAAACAAACCTGGACGCCAAAAGAGCGCGAGAGTGCCATATTTGCACCGGTGTTGTATGACGATGTAGAATAGGCGTACGTGGGCAGCTATTCTTGTAGGTACATATCAAAGTAACAGGTAAACGTGTGACATGCGCATTTATTTTTTAACAGATGTGTTTCAAAATGTTGTCCTTTTTTTGTGGAGAATTATTTTCTATAATGTGTCCTTACATTAGAAAAAATATTTATTTGACACAGGATCAAAAATAAAAACAAAGAAATTAATTAAAAAAAATACTATTGTGTTTGTTTTTTGTGACTCTGTAAGATACCATGAAACAAACAAGTTTTTTACTTATATCGGAAGACGACAAATGGAAATTAATGGATAATTAAGTTTTGTTTTCCTGGCGGATTACAGCACAAAAAAAGGGAGCCAAATGCCTTTATTCATCAATACTTAATGTTACAGCTTTGTTAATATATGAACTTTTATTACCAGTTAAATTTAATATAAATTACCATGGCCCAGTTGTTTCCAAGGAGATAAGACGACTCACTGTTGAACGACATTTTTCAACCTCTAATAATTCTGTCAAAAATTAATATTGTTGGGGTTTTTTTAACGTCATTTTAATCTAAGACATTTGATAGCAGGAACGTTTTAGTTCCGTTCATGGCTGAGTTTTAAAAATACACAAATCGCTAATCACTGATTACATATGCGCTTTTAAAACAACTTGGCCCATTTCATTGTGTTGATAAAATCCAGACACTTACGTTGATCTGCTACCAAAGCATCTTTATTTTGTTGGTTCAGAAATTCACAGACTTACACATCAATGATTATATTTTATCTTGATGGCAGAAAATGGCAACTAAATATTCATAACGCTAATACTTTATATAGCCATCATTTTAATTCACGCTGACAATTTACTGAAAGGTTTCTTCCCTCATATTGCCAGGTAACAATCTCTTAGAAGCATTGTAAGTAATGATTATATTCGGTGAAATCTGTCAACACCGAAAACCAAGACTGACCGGATATTCTGTTCGGAACACACCAGTATCACATAAAACAAACCTACATTATGGTCAGATGTAGCGCAATAGTTTATTGTCACATTTCTGTATAATTTGAATCTGATATTTTGAACATTTTTGTAAGGATTCCGAATATAATCACACTGAGATTATATACAGTAACTGCTTTAGCCAAACATGTAACTATGGTAACTCTGATAATGAGGACCTTAAAGATGTATTCCTACTGGTTTGCGGCAATGTTTTGTTGGGCAAAATATGTAATGTTATATTTACTTATCCAGTATCAACGTCAACCAAGTTCTAAATTTGCCATAAATACCACTAGTGGAATCAGAATATCAAATGTTAGTACTACAATAACAAAAAGGTCTTACTTCATGTGGGCCAAATTTTTAAATGAATTCATCTTATAAAACATCGAGGTAAGATGAAACCTGAGAACCTTTGATTTGAAAATAAATCCCTCCCCTAATGAAAAAACACCTGCCACTGGCGTGCCTCTCACTACACAAAGCAAGAGGTCCAATAGCTCAAATGATCTATAACCTTCAGAATGAGTCATGATTAAATTTAGTGAAACAACTCTTATAGCAGCCATGCTAGTTCAATTTCTCCATATTAACTTCAAAGTTGGTCAACGTCATTTAGTCGAAGCAAACAATAAGTCGGGGTTTATTAACTCTTAAAAAAAGTAAAGCCCTTCACATCAACAGGGTACATATACATATCATTACTCTGTACCTCATGGATCTTAGCATTGAAATGGTCAAAGTATCGTGACACTAGAACTCTTGGTTAGTTAGAAAACAAAGCTTAACTTACACATTTTACCCCTGTCACGTTGGGAGTGGATCACAATAGTTCAATGTACCAAACTTTGTGTATACCTTCACTCCAACACGCTACATGCTAAAAATCATGACCATTGACCCAAGAGTTATTCAGAAGTTTTTAGGTCACCTGAGCTTTAGCTCAAATGACCTATTGCTATCCGTCTCCGTCCGTCGTCGTCCGTCGTCTGTCGTCCGTTAACATTTTACATTTCAAACTTGAAGTCAAGTTCTGCTGGGCCGATTGAACTGAAAGTTGGTAGGAATGATCGCCTCATGGTCCTGACAAAGTGTTGTTATTTTTCAGGTCAATCAGAAATCCAATATGGCCGCCAAGGCCGCCATTTTGAAAAACTATTTCAAACTTAAAGTCAAGTTCTGCTAGGCCGATTGAACAGAAACTTTGTAGGAATGATTGACTCATGGTCCTGACAAAGTGTTGTTATTTTTCAGGTCAATCAGAAATCCAATATGGCCGCCGTGGTCGCCATTTTGAAAAACTATTTCAAACTTAAAGTCAAGTTTGAATGGGCCGATTGAACTGAAACTTTGTAGAAATGATCGACTCATGGTCCTGACAAAGTGTTGTTATTTTTCGGGTCGATCAGAAATCCAATATGGCCGCCACAGCCGCCATTTTGAAAAAATATTTCAAACTTAAAGTAAAGTTCTAATTGGCCGATTGAACTGAAACTTTGTAGGAATGATCGAATCATGGTCCTGACCAAGTGTTGTTATTTTTCTGGTCAATCATAAATCCAATTTGGCTGCCATTATACTTAACTATTTTTTACTCAAATTGGTTCATATTTCAACAACAAAAATAAATACTGTAGGACTCAGGTGACCGTTAAGGCTCATGGGCCTCTTGTTTTTTAAAATATATATTTGACCCATGTAACGTTGTAAGGGGTCAAGGTTAATCATTTAAACAAACATGATAGTTTTGATCCCATCATGCTAATGGCCAAACATCACTACCATAGCAATTTTAGTTATTTAGACGAAGCTCACGAACAGTTCACGCTAGGCCTTTGCATAAGCTCACGAACAGCTCACGCTAGGCCTTTGCATAAGCTCACGTACAGTTCACGCTAGGCCTTTGCATAAGCTCACGAACAGTTCACGCTAGGTGAGCTGAGTTAATGTGTTTGTCGTTGTCAAGCTAACAGCAGTGTCATGATGGGATTTAAACAGCTTATCAAAACCCGCGAGATTTCTTCATAGCATCATACTACTCTGAACATTGATTTCTAGGATCATCGTACCAATACCAAAAGCTTATAATATACATGTATATCAGTTTCTTGGATCACCCTACTACTACAAAAAACTTATAATATATATCAGTTCCTTGGCTGATTTCGTTTAATTTCTAAATTTCGTGT